TATGTTCCATATATATATATATATATATATAAAAGTACATCTCTTAACTTATAATTAAACATGTGAATTTTACAAATTATATTTTTTATAAATAATGTATTTAAGTATATAAATTGTATTTAAAATTTGTATAAATAAGTAATTTTAAATATATAAATTATATTTTGTATTTAAAATAAGTAATTTATATTACGACATAAGATTATTTTTAATTATTGATAATTTATTTTAAAAATATTAGTATTTAATTTATATGCAAATATGATTAAAAAAATTAATTAGACAACAAGTTAAAAGAATCTCTAAACATGCTTTTATCAAGTAATAACTTTTATAAACACTATTACGTAAGATAACTGCATTTAATATACATGCATTGATATTAAAATTGTTAAATAAAAATAATTTTTCATATTGTGTATAGTAAAAACTATTAAAGTTGATTTAGTGATGAAAGTTGAAATTACATCACGAGTTTTTAAATTGTTTGAATATCATTTAATACTTAGGTTGTTTGATTGTTTTAAGGACAAAATTTTGGTACAATTTCTTAGGTGTAATTGGTATTATTCTACAATCGTAGTTGGAGTTTTGTTTTGATATTATGCAAGTGTGTTTAATGCAAATCTCATAAATATATAATTATGCATATTATCGAGATAAAACTCCAATTATAATCGGAGAATGTACTCGAGTTCTGTTATTGTTTTTAATTTTTGAGAAATCCACTTTTGTGCCTATCACTATCCACTTGATTAATAAGTACATGATTCCTATGTTCTTTATTATAGAGAAAATATATTTATTATTCTTAAATATAAACAAATTTTAACTACTTTCCTTAAAATATCACTATTCTGATGTATAATTTTTTAGTAACACTACTTTTTTTTTAACATTTATAATAAAGACAATTTAGAAAGAATATTATAAAAAATAATAAAATTTAATGCATATAAATAATTTTTTTAATATGCATATATATTTTTTTCTTATAATAAAGACCAAGTCTAGTTAAGCATTTTTTTTTATAACTATAAGTATTTTTTTTTTAAACTATTATACCGTAGATCTGATTACTATTGGATTTTTGTTAGTAAATACAATAATAAATTGGAGATCTACAATACTATTATCTACATTTTGAAGAATAGTAAACTCTAACACATTATCCATGTTGTATAATTAATGCTCGTATTATTTTCCTGGTCACTCATGTAAATTGCACACGATTTGTATAGAGTAGGGTAGCTATAGAAAGATTAATTAACTATTGTTTTATGACCATTATAGGTCATGTCATACGTGTTGAAACGTGCTTGCTTTGGTTGCCGGTCCTAAGACATGAATATTTGCGTATTTCCGCGTATAGTGGATTATTATTTTATTAACAACTCATACATTTTGTTGAATTTTATTTTCTTCCACTGAGTTGAATTTTCTTCTCTCGTAAAGGTTGATACATTTTTGCCAATAAGAAAATAATGAACTTGGAGAATGATGACGAGGAGAGGCTCTTTCATGAATGCAGGCATGAAAATTCTGACCCTTAGCAAATATATATCTTGCTACAATCACGGTCCAAACCATGTTTGAACGTAATCTTCAAAAATTATAAGCATTTACTTACTTTCTTGGTTTATTTTTCTATCTTAAGTTCTTTTTTTTTTTTTTCTTCTTCTTTTACATCACATTATTTTGTCAATATCCATTTTTCTCCCCAACCTTATTTTTGCTAAGCTAAAGCCCCCCTTGAGTAATTTTAGTTGAAACCCATCAGTATTCTCACGGAGTTCCCGTAATCCGTCATTCTAATTAGTTTCCAAACAGCTTGCACAGTGCAAAACTCATCATGCACAAAAGACTAAGACCCTTTAGGAAGGTGTGACCCAACTCACTCAAAAGTAAAACCCCTGAAATTTAAGTTTTATGTCTTTTAACAAAAATAAAGACCTAATATATTATTAATTTTTATAAAGTAAAAATGGCACATGAATATATATGCAAAATAAAAAATATCATATTTTAATAATAAAGACCTAATATACATCCTTTTCTATTTAAAGACAAAATTCTCACTCTATCTTTATGTTATGTCAGGAAAATATGTAGTTTTTTTTCTTCATATAATACCAAATTTTCATGTCATAAATTCATCGATGATCAATTACATATAAAGATACATTCTCAACTCACAAAGACTTGGATAGTATTTGTCTGGATCGAATAGAGTATTCTTATATGTTGAAAAACACTCAGACTGTTAGACACATTCTTCTACGATCCTCTTGCATAAAGTAACGTTTGATTATTACATGATAATAAAAGGTATTATATGTATTTAAATGACCAAAATCTTTAAGAGTAACATTTTTTCACTCATATATACTTCCATTTCACATTCATACATTTTTCTCAAGGATGTATTCAAACATTTTAAACACCCACTAACTTAGACATTAAAGTCTTTTTTTTGGCACAACCAGAATTTGTAATTAATCTTAAAGTTTGATCAAGCATATTTACCACATCATTGATCAAGCATCTTAAGTTTCATAACACCTATTATAAAAAAACAAACTAACTGTTGATCAAGGTAACAATAACAAATGTTCTTTAAACAAAAATAACAAATGATTTTTCACCAACGAAATTCAACGCATATTACCCACTAGAACGACTCTTCCATATAAAAATTATCAATGGACCAGGCTAGGTGATTACGTTAAAACGCCCTTGCAGAAGAGATAGTTCATATAGGTAGCATTTTCAATTGGGAAAAGTTACTCTTACATAATCTCAGAGGATTTTAATTGAAGATAAAATAACGTAGGTTTAAGTTTTTAGAATATCATTTTATACCATTAGAATAATGAATTTTAACAGTTATTGCTTTTGAAATTGTCTGTTGATATTTTTAAAAAGAGAAATTCTATGGTACCCATCTTATTTGAGAGGGTACCGGTACAGTTTTTAATATTTTATATTTTTAATAATTTATTTAAATAATATTTATAATATTTTATTCTTTCAATTTTTAAATTATTTAGTTATTTTATTTTTTATTTTATATATTCTAATTTATTTGCAATAATATTATTATATATTTAAATAATTTAATTTTAATAATTTTTTAAGTTTATTTTTATTTTTTCACTTAAATTTTTTGAATTTCTATATTTTAATTTTAATAATTTTTTAAGTATTTTTTTTTGTCTTTTTGTCATAAATTTTTGAATTTCTATATTGTAATTTTAATAATTTTTTATTTTTACTATTTATTAATTTTTCTTTTTTTTTAATATTTTATAATATTATTGAAATCTTATAATTTTAATTTTTATAATTTTATCTTACTTTTTATTTTATAAATATAATTTAGATTATTCATTTTATAATTAAATTAATTTTTTTAAAAAATTTTATGAGTTTACATAGAAAAATGTATTGGAACCCCTCGATCTTTGAGGGTACCGTAGCAACTCCCAAAAAAATTCATCATTTTTTTCAAAATAAAATTCATACTTTCATAAATTCATAAATATTTATACTTTCAGAGATACGTAGTTTTTAATTTGAAATCCAAAATAAAAGTGAAATGGAATAAAAAAAATAATATTCAAATGAAATTATTATTTGAAAAATAGAAAGACAAAATATCAAATACAAGTAATTGATAAAAATAATAGGTGAAGGACAGTAGTAAGAAACAATATTGTTATATATATATATATATATATATATAAAGATTTATAAGTTATATCTCAACATACATATATAAAAATGATGTGAAAATAATGAAATGACGTTCAATGGTGTACTAAGAACGACGTCACTGTCAATTTGACAATGAGGTTTTGAATTTTCCGCGAAATCACTGTGGGTGATACGTTAATTTTCTCGGATGAAGTGAGCCAGCTATATATATAAACAAGTGCTACCATCCTTATTTCTTCACACAAAACACTGCTCTCTCATATTTCTCTTGTTAAAATGACAATCACAAAATACATGCTTGTTGCCCTCGCTCTATGTTTCTTAACCTCTGCCTACGCCGCAAGGTTTGACATCACAAACCGATGCTCCTACCCAGTGTGGGCCGCGGCCGTGCCCGGAGGAGGAAGGAGGCTGAACTCGGGGCAGTCATGGGCCCTTGACGTGGCGGCAGGAACGAAAGGGGCCCGCATCTGGGCCCGAACGGGATGCAACTTCGACGGTTCGGGCCGCGGGCATTGCCAGACCGGTGACTGCGGGGGCGTCTTGGAGTGTAAAGCATACGGTACACCTCCCAACACCCTAGCGGAATACGCGCTGAACCAGTACAACAACTTGGACTTCTTCGACATCTCCCTCGTCGACGGTTTCAACGTTCCCATGGACTTCAGCCCTACCTCCAACGGCTGCACACGTGGCATAAAATGCACTGCCGACATTAATCGACAGTGTCCCACTCAGCTTAAGACTCAAGGGGGCTGTAACAACCCATGTACTGTCTTCAAAACCGACAACTATTGTTGCAATTCCGGTAACTGTGGACCCACTACTTACTCCAAATTCTTCAAGGATAGGTGCTCCGATGCTTATAGTTATCCCAAGGACGATGCCACCAGCACTTTTACATGCAAGGGTGGCACTAACTATAGGGTTGTCTTTTGCCCTTGAAACTTGAAAACAACCCTCTTTTCCTCTTCCTTGCTACTCAATAAAAAAATATATGAATAACGCTGTGTTTCTTAGAATAAAGTTTAGGGGGTTGTTCCTGGACCATAATAAATGAGAGATTTTGGTACGTCTTTTAAATAAAAATTATTTTATATTTAAATTTTTACATTATTTATTTTTAAGTTTTTATTAATATTTTTATAATTATACGATCTCCTCTCCCCTCCGTCTCCCACCTCTCCCTCGCCCCTTCATATTCGCCTTTGTTCCAAGATCCTCCAGATCCCTTCCTTTCATGTTAATTCCCGAATGTGAGTAGTTTTGCTGGTGATTCTGATTCTGATTCTGATTGGCTCAGCATAACATCATTTGCTTACTTATTGGCCACCTTGCTTTCGAAACCGTCGAAGAACACAGCAAGTACGCCATCGTCAGCATGAAACCCAACTCCATCCACGCCCTCGTCATCGCCAGCAAAAAGGAAGATCCATTTCACCCACTCGATAAACAACCACCCATCCCTCACTCCCTCGGTGAAAGACCCCGCAATCTCCACAGAGTTATCACTAGCACAATCGCAATGCACGCCGCCACCAAACACGGAAACGAAACAAATCCCAATCAGAATCAGAATCACCAGCGAAACTACTCACATTCGGGGATTAACATGAAAGGAAGGGATCTGGAGGATCTGGAACAAAGGCGAACATGAAGGAAATGGCAGCGATAAACAAAGGCGAACGTGAACTTCATATTAACCATTTACCTGACGTAAATGTGAATTTTAAATAATTAAAAAATTATAAATGACTTGGATTTACACATAGGTGACACATCATCAATAGTATCGGTACCCTTCTTTTATACAAGGTACCGTAGAAATTCTCTAAAGTTTATTTGTGATGTAATTTTAGTGTAGATTTTACACTATCAAATATCGACTAAATCATAAATTACTTAGTGATCCATCTGTCCGGATATTGTTCCGTCAAAAACTGATGCGGTGCTCCATCTGTTTTCTGATGATGCATGATTTAATGGGCAATCCGATACAAGGCCATAACCATTTAAAGGAACATGATTCATGGCATCCACATGTAGGACCGTATAAATATAATACAGGCGTGAGATTTGTCTTGTGCAATGCAAAATTATAATCCACATGTCCCAACGCAAATGATATTTTATACATATATATAGCATGAGATGCAAAGAAAAAAATGTGGGTGTGAATAGAAACTCCTGTTTAGGAGTTGAGAAATTATCATATCCAGCTCAGCTCATAGGTATTTCATGGCAACCATCGTAACGTGTTTTACTAAATAACTCAATTGAACGCTATTTGAGTGTGATCATGATTGTATATAGAAAAAAAGGATTGAAAAAATTACACAAGTATGGAAGGACTTTTCGAGTGGTTTGACCTTCCTGAGTGGATGTGCAACACTACAACACTAGTAGAGAAGACTTGAGTGCGTGACTAGCTTTTTGTCACATCGTATCCACATACATATCTATAGTTTGTAACTTGTATTAAATTAAATTTTACAAAAGACTCTATCCCTTTCTCCACTTGGCTATGTCTACAAGTTAAAAAAATTTAGCTACTTTCTTGTTGTGCGATTATTGCTAGCTAAGGTATAGCAATAATAACATCCAGGGTGCATAGAAGTAAAATAAATAGAGCTGATAAATGATTTAATCAAGCAAGAGTTAATTAATGTCTAAATTAAGTTCAAACTTAGGTATTTCTTCATGAAATCTGCATAGCAGCTCAGAAACAGTGATGGGAGAAATGAAAACTTAAATCAAAACATATAGCTTTTAAAACTTATTATAATGCATGGATGAGGGAGGACCGTGACAAACAGACTCTTGAATCTTGACTGGATGAGCTAGCTGGTAGTCTCTTGAATCTTGATTGGATGAGGTAGCTATTGGAAATGACATACACAAAAATGCATAATTAAGCAGAGAAAATTTTTATAAGTGTTCCGGCCAAAGGGTGCGCTAGGGTTTTGTCCTATGGCGAACCTCAAAGCCAGAGCATTCAAAAGTGTAGCACTAACTATAGGGTTGTCTTTTGCCCTTGAAACTTGAAAACAACCCTCTTTTCCTCTTCCTTGCTACTCAATAAAAAAATATATGAATAACGCTGTGTTTCTTAGAATAAAGTTTAGGGGGTTGTTCCTGGACCATAATAAATGAGAGATTTTGGTACGTCTTTTAAATAAAAATTATTTTATATTTAAATTTTTACATTATTTATTTTTAAGTTTTTATTAATATTTTTATAATTATACGATCTCCTCTCCCCTCCGTCTCCCACCTCTCCCTCGCCCCTTCATATTCGCCTTTGTTCCAAGATCCTCCAGATCCCTTCCTTTCATGTTAATTCCCGAATGTGAGTAGTTTTGCTGGTGATTCTGATTCTGATTCTGATTGGCTAAAAAAGAACTTAAGATAGAAAAATAAACCAAGAAAGTAAGTAAATGCTTATAATTTTTGAAGATTACGTTCAAACATGGTTTGGACCGTGATTGTAGCAAGATATATATTTGCTAAGGGTCAGAATTTTCATGCCTGCATTCATGAAAGAGCCTCTCCTCGTCATCATTCTCCAAGTTCATTATTTTCTTATTGGCAAAAATGTATCAACCTTTACGAGAGAAGAAAATTCAACTCAGTGGAAGAAAATAAAATTCAACAAAATGTATGAGTTGTTAATAAAATAATAATCCACTAAAATATTATTTAAATAAATTATTAAAAATATAAAATATTAAAAACTGTACCGGTACCCTCTCAAATAAGATGGGTACCATAGAATTTCTCTTTTTAAAAATATCAACAGACAATTTCAAAAGCAATAACTGTTAAAATTCATTATTCTAATGGTATAAAATGATATTCTAAAAACTTAAACCTACGTTATTTTATCTTCAATTAAAATCCTCTGAGATTATGTAAGAGTAACTTTTCCCAATTGAAAATGCTACCTATATGAACTATCTCTTCTGCAAGGGCGTTTTAACGTAATCACCTAGCCTGGTCCATTGATAATTTTTATATGGAAGAGTCGTTCTAGTGGGTAATATGCGTTGAATTTCGTTGGTGAAAAATCATTTGTTATTTTTGTTTAAAGAACATTTGTTATTGTTACCTTGATCAACAGTTAGTTTGTTTTTTTATAATAGGTGTTATGAAACTTAAGATGCTTGATCAATGATGTGGTAAATATGCTTGATCAAACTTTAAGATTAATTACAAATTCTGGTTGTGCCAAAAAAAAGACTTTAATGTCTAAGTTAGTGGGTGTTTAAAATGTTTGAATACATCCTTGAGAAAAATGTATGAATGTGAAATGGAAGTATATATGAGTGAAAAAATGTTACTCTTAAAGATTTTGGTCATTTAAATACATATAATACCTTTTATTATCATGTAATAATCAAACGTTACTTTATGCAAGAGGATCGTAGAAGAATGTGTCTAACAGTCTGAGTGTTTTTCAACATATAAGAATACTCTATTCGATCCAGACAAATACTATCCAAGTCTTTGTGAGTTGAGAATGTATCTTTATATGTAATTGATCATCGATGAATTTATGACATGAAAATTTGGTATTATATGAAGAAAAAAAACTACATATTTTCCTGACATAACATAAAGATAGAGTGAGAATTTTGTCTTTAAATAGAAAAGGATGTATATTAGGTCTTTATTATTAAAATATGATATTTTTTATTTTGCATATATATTCATGTGCCATTTTTACTTTATAAACCTCAAAGCCAGAGCATTCAAAAGTGTAATTTGTCTCTTCGACTCTAGGGTTTTGGGTTTTATGATATCGTTCATGGGCCTCTTGGGCCCCCAGAATGAAGGGATTTCTCTAACCGTTTCTTATCATGATGGCGCGGGGTTAAAGGGAAACGAATCTGGTCGGATTCCGACCGACTGGGTCCATACCGAGGACCCAGTCGGGTTAATGCCGAGTAGAAGGCCAAGTCGGATTTTGACCTGGACGGTACA